AAAAAAAAAAAGAAAAAAAATAATAGGGGAAATACATCCTAAAAGACAAGAAAATTTGAAACTTGGAAAATTTTCACTCACAAGAAGGATAATCAGCATTATGCGTAATTCCATGATAAAACGCATAAAAAATAAATAACAAAAAGAAAGAAGAAACATAGGGGTGGTTCATACCTGGCTCGGAATCTGTCTCCGGTAGAAGACTGATGTAGGTGGAAATTTGGCATCGTAAGATGGCAATGAATGAATGTAGATGGAATAAAGTCCTGCATGACCCTTGAGGAACCTCTCCCAAAGAGGAGCAAGCGGCAAAGGACCCCTCGTCAGGAACAGGAAAGCAATCTTAGGAACTCGCCTAAATGGATACTTCTTTACTCGAGGAACGAAAGAAGCACGCCAGAAGAGCTCCTGGTCACTCATCTTGTGTATCAGACTGGAGGGAGGCCTGATCCAACGCTCTAGACTATTCGGCTCTTCGAGGCACGGCTGGAAACTGGACCGTGCCGTGGTGACAACATTCTGAACTGAGAAATACCGGATCATGTACATGCTAAGGACAGAAAACCCAATACCCAAAACCAGAAATAGCACAAAGAATTGCAATATTCTCAGTGGTAAAACCCTAGACTGGGTAGTTCTGGTTGTGGCGGGCAAGTCCTTCCCTTCCTCTACATTTAGAGCCCTTGGTTGCATCTTAAAATGGAAGGTTCCTAATGAAATAACCTTCTGGGTAATGTGTTTGCAGGGATAGCGAATTCAACAACACACCTTTGGCATTGGATCTGAGAGTATCCTACTACAGTCGACTCCAGTAGCTCTGATGGCAAAAGCAGTATCCTAGAAAGCATCTTAGAACAAAGTTTGCGGAAAAGGTTGGATGTTTACCATATGCGTAGAAGGGTAGAGAAGGTTCTTGTCAACAACCGACACTGTCGTATTGGCATCATCAGGAACTCAACTAGATCTGAAGAATCCCAAGTGGAATCGGATTGCTTTGTAGAACTTAGAACCAAAAACGGATGATAAGCAAACGCGGAAGACGAAAAAAAAATTATCACCAGGATGTAAGCATCGGGAAGTCAACAAAACTCGAGGAGAACAAAGCAGAGAAATAAAGATGGCATGTAATAAAAGAAAAATTACGATAGTCGAATCTTTACCAGATGGCAATCGAGAATTATGAGTTATTGAGAAATCAATGAAGAATAAAAGACGTAATTGCACAGAATCGATTCGTTCATCAGTTCATGCTTTTGTTCGCTACCTAAATTACGCCAGCTTTGCGTGTATACAATGAGGAGGGTTTTAAGATTCCGCCCAGGATTTGAATGGAAAACCGGAGATGAACAGAAGTCGTGGGTCAAGGAGAAAAAAGGTTAGGTGAGTAAAGAATGATCAGTTGCTTAGATAGAGAGAGAAAGAGAAAGAGGTCCGAGAGATTGGGAAGTAATTACTCAAGGAATCATCGACATCAGGATTGGAGAGAGAGAGAGCAGAGAGTGTGTGGGGTTTCGTGGACTATAAAACTGGGAGAAAAATCTATGAGGGCATGTTAGTGGATTCTCTCTGTGTTGTGCTGAGAATGTGTTGCTCTTAGTACCAATGTCCCGGCCGGCCCGACTGCGTTTGTCCGGTTGGTGAAACGGTTACCGGTTCACACCAAACCAAGAGATTGCACCACGTCCACGTGGTCTTGCAAAAACCAAAAAGTGGGTCTACCTAACGAAGTACATGATTATTCATTCTTGACCGTCTGATCGTTTTTTTATTTTCTTTTGAATCTTCCTTTGTTTATATATTTGAGGTATGAGTAATGAACGACAATGGCATACGAGTTGTGATCCCGACCTTTGACCTTTCCCCTGAATCAATGTCCCAGACTTGTGTACTGACTCCTTTCATTTTTTGTTTATTTATTTATTTTTCTCGGTTGCCTATTTTCCAGAGCGATCAGAAGATTGCTTGAAGGTTGAAAAGGTTAAAGTTGAAGAGTTTAAACTTCCATCAGTTCCATTCCATGTTAATGGGTTAATAGTATTCTGGTGTCAACTTAAAACTGAGCTTTAGTTATTGAGTTGTTGACTTTTTGGGCAGTAATTGATTGGCTGCCATTATTCCCTGTGGTCCGTATTGCAGCGTTGCAGTTTAATCGAACAGGTACTTCGTCCATGCAGATTAATCGAATTTTGTGTCGCATTTAGAAGCTGCTGCAACTGTAATGAAATCGTTTCATTCTAGCTCGAGTTTATTATCTAAAATAGTTGAAGGAACAATAGAAATTCTGACAAACGCAGCGATGAGGCCCTTGTTCTAATTTTTAAGCATTGAAATTCATATCTTTCTTTTTCATATTTGGATTAGTTGACGACTCCTTTGAGTGTTCAAATGCCAAGATCTTATTTTTGTTTTTTCTTCAATTTCACTTTGTCTCAGAGGTTTGTTGCAGGCTGATGTTGTTTTTCCGGTTTCACTATGAAAGCAGGAAAGTTCGACAAATTTGCTTTTCCGGCAATTCTGTTACAAATTCATGACGATGGACGTTAAGTCGCGTTGTTGTACGAAGTAATGTTGAAATTGAATTCATAGCTTTCTATATTTTCAATTTCTTCTTCTGGATATTTACTATTTTGAAAAGGATTCGACTATGACTTGGGAAAGATATGATATCTAAAATTTTTTTACCAATTAGTATCATAAACGTGATTTCTCTTTTGAAAATTTAAAAAGTAATTAGGAATAAAAGAGTTTTTTTTTTTTTTTTTGCTAATTTAACCGTAAAACTTATCAAATATAAAATCTACGGTATTGGAAAGAAATGGTACCGGAAAAGTAATTAAAGTATTCCCATGAATATTGATTTTTTTAATAACACCTGATTCGTCACCTATTTTATTATATCAGTTGATTCCTTATAAACTTTTCCAATTTCATATATATCAGGTATCATAGTCCAATCCCTTGATATCTCTGTGTACTTTAAATAATTTTCTCTTTTTATATAATCTATAATACTTTAAACAGCATGAATAGCTTTAACAATATTTTTAGAATTTTTTAGGACAAAATTTATTCTTTTATATTTAAATTTATTGATAAAAAATGAGCACAAAAGGATAATCAATTATTAATATTAAATGAGTTAAAAAAAGACAATTATAAGATATTCAATGCATACAATTTCTTCTCATTAAATCCAACACTTTAAGGCATTAATTTGTATTCACCTTCATTGAACCATATATTTAAGGTGTTTTTATTTCTTCTCATTAAATTCATACATAATAAATTAATAATTCTAATAATATAAAAATATACTTTTAAAATCTACCTGAAAAAAAAAAATTAGTGTTTTCATCTAGGTAGTGGTAGGATATTAAACCATTTCAGGTCAAACGGGCCAATCCATGTTGTCACAATTAAATAATAAAATGCAAAAAATATAGAAATTAAAAAAAAATTGGGAACATTCTTAACATCATATATTCGACACATGAAACAATAATAAGTATGATAAATAATAAATGTTTTTATTAATGATGGAAATAGAATGTAAAATTTAAAAACAATTAGAAATAAAACTATTTCTCCTAATCTCTCTCATTAAATCTCATATTAACGTATATTCTCTTATTAAATCCACAAAATTAATTTTAACATTATAAAATTAAATATTTTGAAAATAATTTAAAAACAAAACTATTTTCTTCTCTTCCAATGGTGGCTAAACAATTCAACCATTTTGGATCAAATGGGTTAATAAATAGTTATAATTAAATAATAAAAAATTAAAATGTATAAAATATATAACACAAAAAATAAATGAACATATCTCTAATATTGCATATTCATTATGCTAAATAAAAGTACATATAAAATGTAAGAAGTAATTTTTATTAATGATGAAAATGGAAAGCCAAAGTTAAAATCAACCTATAAATGAAATGATGTCATAGTCAAATAATACATTTTTCTAAAAATAGAAAATATAAATAATAATAAAATTAAAATAGAAATATAAAATATTTGGGCACATATCTAATGTTATATATTCATAAAAATAAATATTGGGTATATTTCTAATATTATACATTCATTATCAATGACGAAAATATAATATAAAATTTAATGTCAACCTATAAATCAAATTATTTTCCTTTTTGAGTTGTAGATTAGTGGTTTAGGTCAAATAGATTAACCAATTATATGATAGTTAAATAATAAATTTTTAAAAAATAAAAAAATACAAATAATCAAAAGAATATATAAAAAAATTATATATTAATTATGCCAAACGAAAATTAAATATGATAAGTAAAAATTATATAATGTAGATGATATATAATTTAAAACAAATCTGAAAGTAAAGTTATTTTCTTATTTAGATGGTAGATCAATGATCCAACTTTTCAAAAAAACTCATGATGTCATAATTGAATAATAAATATTTTAAAAAAATAGAACACAAATAATTAAAAAGTACAAAATTCTATCGCATTTGGGAACATTTATAATGTTATATATTCATCATAATAAATAAAAATAATTTTTTTTATTTATGGAAAAAATGGAATACAAAATTTAATAATAATGATAATAATAATAATAATAATAATAATAATTGTTATTGTAATATAAAATTTCCACATGCAATACACGTGCACATTTACTACAATCATTTGAATTTGTTTTTAATCATATTGTTACTTTTGTTAATTTTCAATTTTTATATTAATTATGATATATCTAAAGTTCAAGTAATTAATATGAAAAAAAAATTCTCACGTGCAATGCATGTGCTTAATTACTAGTTAATAAAAAAGACTTAACAACCCAAATTGGACATTTTCATGCATCAAAAAACCGAACTCATTGAAGGCAAAACATCATATTTCATTTAACAAAGAAACGTGTATGAATACAAAGTAGTGGTCACATTACCAACTGGAACGGTAACCACCTGGAATTGTAATCTCCATATTTGTTATCATTGGAATTGGAACTATAAGTGATGGTGAAGTAAAATAAGAAAACAATCACCAGCGATGAAATTCAAGGTAGCGATTAAGGCCACCGCCCAACATTCCGCCTCCTGTACTAAAATCCCTGCAAAACAAAAAAAAACAAAATAAAAAATAAGAAAAAAAAAGGAGAAAAAACGAAAGAGAGTGGATGATTGGACCAAGTTAATCAAGAAGAAGAGAGAGGAGTAAGGGAAAGGGAGAAGGGAAGAAGAAAATGGAGAAGAAAGGGAGAGAGTAGGAAGAAAATGAACAACTGAAATGGAAAGAAGAGAAGAACCTGAGATGAAAACTCTCTCAAAGAAAAGAGATAGGGAACCTCTAAAAACCCTAAAAAAAAGATACTCTCTTGAAATCACTTAGTTTTTGGTTAACTTAAAAAAAAAAAAATAGTGGTTAATCGAATCAACCACTTTATATATAGGTATTAAGTATATAAATGAATATATATAATCATCTATTTGTAATATATAATATATTATATATACTTATAACATATATTATAAATATAACAAAATCAAAAGATTAAAGAACTTACTCGATCAAAAATCAAAATCAATCAACCGGTTAACTAGTAATGCCAATTCAACTTTGATTCAAGAAATTGCAAAAAATAATAGAATTAATTCGATTTTAACAAAGAAACTACAGTTCGATTAACCAAATCATGAATACCCCTACCATCAACCCAACATGAACTCCATCTACGATTTCTCATCTCGGATTCCGATCCGAGTAGATGGGAACTTGAGACCAGCAAACCGAGCCTGAATCAGAGAAAGGGGAATGGACAGCATGAAACCAAGGACCTTGAAATGGGTGGGTGCTTGACCCGAAATCCGCTCATCTTGCTTGATAGAAAATGGATATGGACTAGCAATTAGCAAGGTGGGCCTGTCAAAGAGAAGGTCCATTCATTTTGGCGTAACTTTTTTTTTTGGTACTTACATTTTGGCGTAACTTATGTTCCCATGCCTTGTATTGCATTTTATAGGACTGGAATCCAAATGTGGTATATGCTAGAAGGTCCTCCCCACCCCCGCGAAAGAGAGAGCATAACTAATCGCGGAATGCGTAAGAACTAAGAAGATGGGTGAGTCGCTGATTCCTGATTCCTTGACTGTTTCATTTGTACGTTTAGTTTGCTTTGGATGCACTATATTATTATTAGGATGCTTTGGTTGCAGTGGTATAAATGGATGGGAGTGTGTTGAATCCCGCTGTTACCTACAACTTACGTTGAAAAGTTAAATGTGTTGTGTTTAAGAAATATTTTAAAAAACGATCGAGAATTAGAATCGTTCTGGCCATGGCTTTTGGGTCAATGGTTCAATCATTCAGTTTGAACGGATGGCTCGTAATGATAATAAATAAAAATTAAAAAAACAATAATTAAAATAGAAAATAGTCAATAAATGTTGAGCGGGTCGAATGCCTGGGTCAATGGGCTATTGACCAATTCAATGGTTTTGACTAAAGACCAGGTTTAGGGTAAAATGGAACTAGTTGCCTGGATGGTTCTCGGGCTGAATGATCCGACTGTGTGGATTAATGGCAGTTCAAAAACATTAGTGTTAAGTAC